GTGTGTGTGTGTGTGTGTGTGTATGTTTATACATATATATGGGCATAACATAGTTCATAAAGCTAAAGCTAATGTTCTACATCCTAGCTTGGTGAATAGAGCCTGTGATCTTAAAAGCTTGTGAGCGGCCATGTAAGATACAACTATTGGTCTTTTCTCACCTGGAGCAAAAGACAAAGAAGGAAACTAAAGACTCAAAGAAGAAGCTAGTCTACAGGACTCAATAGCCCACATGTACCACAGCCTCACCTATCCTGAAAACAGAATAACTAGATGGTGCCTGGCTACCACTACCAACCATTCTGACCAATAGATGGTCCCAGATAGAATGGGAGAGAAATGTAGAATAAAACTCAAATCTCTAAAAAATGCTAGACTTACTGGACCAGTAGAGACTAGGGGAACCCCCGAAACTATCGCCCTGAGATACCGTATAAACTTGGAACTGAAGCCCCTCCCAGAGGTCACATTCCAGCCAAATAACAGATTGGCTCATAAAATAAACAATATCACCCATGAGTACTGTTCTTCTTTAAATAATCATCTATATGAGACCAAATGGTCAACAATTTACCCTAAAGCAAAGATGAGAAGGTAAGGGGGAGGGAGTGGCAAGGATTCGTGGAAAGAGAATAACCAGAATGGAAATAATGAGAATATTGACACATTGTGAAAAATGTAACCAGTGTCACTGAACAATATGTATAGAAATTGTTAAATGGGAACCTAGTTTGCTGTGTAAACTTTAACCAAACACACAAATACATTTATAAAAAGAAATACCCTTTCTGCTGTCTTCTCCCTCAAGCCACTATTTAATCTGTGTCCTTAAGTGTATATACCGCCACTCATCTGTCAGTTTGTCATACTGTGGTGGCTTGTGTGTTGCTGGGATGCTGGAAGCTATGCCACCGGTATTTCAAATAGTAGCAGGGTCACCCATGGTGGACAGGTTTCATCTGAGCTTCCAGACTAAGACAGACTAGGAAGAAGGACCAAGCGGTCTACTTCTGAAAAAACTGACCAGTGAAGACCTTATGAATAGCAACAGAACATTGTCTGATATAGTGCCGGAAGATGAGCCCGTCAGATTGAAAACACTGAAAATACAACTGGAGGAGAGCTGCCTCCTCAAAGTAGGGTTGACCTTAATGATGTGGATGGAGTCAAGCTTCTGGGACCTTCATTTGCTGATGTGGCACAACTCAAAATGAGAAGAAACAGCTGCAAACACCCATTAATACTAGGAACATGGAATGTACGAGGTATGAATCTAGGAAAATTGAAAGTCATCAAAAATGAAATGGAACACGTAAAGATCAATATCCTAGGCATTAGTGAGCTGAAATGGACTGGTTTTGGCTATTTTGAATTGGACGATCATGTGGTCTACTATGCAGGCAATGACAAATTGAAGAGGAATGGCATTGCATTCATTGCTAAAAAGAACACTTCAAGATCTATCCTGAAGTACAACACTGTCAATAATAGGATAATATCCGTATACCTACAAGGAAAATCAGTTAATATGACTATTATTCAAATTAACACACCAACCACTAAGGACAAAGATGAAGAAATTGAAGATTTTCACCAACTTCTGCAGTTTGAAATTGATCAAACGTGCCATCAAGATGCATTGATAATTACTGGTGATTGGAATGCAAAAGTTGGAAAGAGAGATCAGTAGTTGAAAAATATGGCCTTGATGATAGAAACGACACCTGAAATTGCATAATAGAATTTTGCAAGACCAACGACTTCTTCATTGCAAATACCTTTTTTCAACAACTAAATGGCAACTATACACGTGAACCTCACCAGATGGAAAACACAGGGATCAAATCAATTACATCTGCGGAAGAAGACAGAGAAAAGCTCAATATCATCAGTCAGAACAAGGCCAGAGGCCGACTGTGGAACAGACCAATTGCTCATATGCAAGTTCAAGTTGATTGTGAAGAAAATTAAAGCAAGTCCAGGAGAGCCAGTATATGACCTGGAGTGTATCCCACTAAATTTGGAGACTGTCTCAAGAATAGATTTGACACATTGAACACTAATGACTGAAGACCAGATTTGTTGTGGGATGACAGTAAGGGCATCATACATGAAAAAGCAAAGTGTCATTAAAAAGACAGGAAAGAAAGAAAAGACCAAAATGAATGTGAGAAGAGACTCTGAAAGTTGGTATTGTAGCTAAAGTGAATGGAAGAAATGATGAAGTAAAAGAGCTGAGCAGAAGATTTCAAAGAGCAGCTTGAGAAGAGTAAACTATTATAATGAAATGTACAAAGACCTGTTCTTAGCAATCCAAAAGGGTAGAATGTGCTCAGCATTTCTCAAGCTGAAAGACCTGAAGAAAAAATTCAAGTTTTGATTTGCAATAGTGAAGGATTCTATGGGCAAAATATTAAACAACACAGGAAGCTTCAGAAGAAGATGGAAGGCATACACAGAGTCACTGTACCAAAAAGAATTGGTCGACATTCAGCCATTTCAGGAGGTAGCATTTGATCAAGAACCAATGGTATTGAAGGAAGTCCAAGCTGCACTGAAAAAGCTGGTGAAAAACAAAGCTCCAGGAATTGACAGAATATCAGTTGAGATGTTTCAATAAACGGATGCAGCGCTGGAGGTAGTCACTCATCAATGCCAAGAAATTTGGAGGACAGCTGCCTGGCTAACTGACTGGAAGAGCTCCATATTTGTGCTCATTCAAAAGAAATGTGATCCAATGGAATGTGGAAATTATTGCACAATATTATTAATATCACACACCAGTAAATTTTTTCTGACGATCATTCAAAAGTGGTTGCAGCAATACATTCACAGGGAACTGCCTGAAATTCAAGCAAGAGTCAGAAGAGGACATGGAATGAGGGATATCATTGCTGATGTCAGATGGATCCTGGCTGAAAGCAGAGAATACCAGAAGAAGATTTACCTGTGTTTTGTTGACTATACAAAAGCATTCAGCTGTGTGAATCATAACAAATTATGGGTAACATTACAAAGAATGGGAATTCCAGAACACTTAATTGTGCTCATGCAGAACCTATACATAGACCAAGAGGCATAATTTGAACAGAACAAGGGAATACTGCTTGGTTTAAAATAAGGAAAGGTTGTGTCAAGGTTGTATCCTTTCACCAAATTTCTTCAATCTGTATGCTGTGCAAATAATCCGAGATTTGTATTATATAAAAAAGAAGATGGCATCAGGATTGGAGGAAGACTGATTGACAACCTGCAATATGCAGTGACACAACCTTGTTTGCTGAAAGTGAAGAGGATTTGAAGCACTTGCTGATGAAGATCAAGGACTCTAGCCTTCAGTATGGATTATATCTCAGTACAAAGAAAACCAGAGTTCTCACAGCTGGACCAATAAGCAACATCATGATAAACAGAGAAAATATTGAAGATGTCAGGGATTTCATTTTACTTGGATCTACAATCAACATCCATGAAAGCAGCAAATCAAATGATGTATTACATTGGACAAATCTGCTGTAAAAGCTTTCTTTAAAATGTTAAAAAGCAAAGATGTCACTTAGAAGACTATGGTGCACTTGATCCAAGCCATGATATTTTCAATTGCCTCATATGCATGCTAATCTGAACAATGAATAAGGAAGACCAAAGAAGAATTGATGCCTTTGAATTATGGTATTGGCAAAGAATAATGAATACGCCATGGACTGCTAGAAGAACGAACAAATCTGTCTTGGAAAAGTACAACCAGGGTGCTCCTTAGAAGCAAGGATGGCAAGACTTCATATTATGTACTTTGAGCATGTTATCAGGAGGGACCAGTCCTTGGAGAAGGATGGATATTATGCTTGGTAAAGTAGAGGGTCATAGAAAAGGTGAAAGACCCTCAACAAGATGGATTGACACAGTGACTGCAACAATAGGCTCAAGCATAACATTGATCGTTAGAATGGCGCAGGACCGGGCAGTGTTTTGTTCTGTTGTACATATGGTTGTTATGAGTTGGAATAGTTTGGATGGCACCTAACAAAAACAACAAGTATGTATAATTCTTTCAATTTTTACATCTTTTTTTATTTACTACCCCATGTAGTTTTTCTAAATAATTTATATTTGTAGATGGAGCTAAATTGTGTTTTAATTGCAGCTTTAGAGTATTAGAGAAGAGATTAGAGTATATTAGAAAAATTAATCTTTGTTAAACCATCTAATTGATTTGTCTTGGTGCTCTTCCTGCCTATCTGAGTTTTTAAATTTTAATAAAGTATCTATACGTGAAGAGATTATCTATTGTAGTTGGAAATTAATTTACAAAGACATTTCAATATCCATAAAACCAGATATTAAACTACGAATACTTAGGTTTAAGGGCATTGGGTCAGGTTAAAAAAGAAATATGGGGTAGGCGGGTTTAGTTTTATTTTATTATTTTATAGCCTCTTAAAAAATAAGTAACTTTAAGAACAGCATCTTATGTTACTATTTTAAATAATACTTTTATTCTCCTGTCTCCTTTAAAAGTTTGTAAGGTGGTTTAAGAGTACAAAATTTATATAAATTAACCTTCCAATTTTCTCAGTAGTGATGTAGTTTCAGCAGGGCTGAAAAAACTACGAGAAATGTGGATACCTGACTTTAGAAATGTTCTAGCATTATCTGATCTTTCTTCATTTCAGCGAATGTTTCTTGGACAATGTATGTAGTCATCTGGAATTAATTTGGTGTGTCTTTTTGTGGAGTGGGGCAGGAATGGAGAGAAATTGATTAATTGATTGATTTCTTTGTTTAACCAAAACAAAGTGGAAAAAGGAAATTTTTGAGGCAGGCTCGATCTTCTTCAACAGTTTCAGTTGGTTTAAATAATTTCTTCTGAGAGGTGGTCCCTTATCAAATCTTAACTTCTAGCAATGTTCTTGTTCTTTTCTTAAGGTTCCTGGTAAGTAGTGGCTTCTTAATTAATCGGAATTTCTTTAGGCATTGACTCTTTTTTATCTGCTTCACAGGTTGTTTGTATTCGCTCTACTTGGAATGCTCTCTCCCCAAAACTGAGTTGTGACACGAGACCTCTCATTTTAAAGACCCTCAGTGAACTCTTTTCTCTGGTTCCTTCCTTAACAGTCAATACAGCTGAATATGAGGTACGCATTTGGAGCTCAACAAGTTACCAGTTTCTATATTGGAAAGATGTGTGTGATGTCATACTTTTGGAATAACTATGATCTATTATTTTCTAAAAATTGTTTTGCATTTTTGTTCTGAGGACATATTAATACCTTATGGGCCATTAGGAGTAGGATATTATGTACGCTTATCAATTCTATGTCTTTAAGACTTATTTGCATACAGGATACCAAGTTTTCTCACTTGCCAAGTAACAAATTTAATACTAATGTGTTGTATTATGACAGTTATAGCTGAGATTTTTAAAAGTCAGTTCAAAATAGTATTTTTAAAATAATAGAATTCATAGGCCTATAATTTAAATTGATTTTATTAGTGTTTCAAGTTCTATAAATAACTTACAAAGACTTTAACGAAGGCAGGGCAGACTAGCCCAATTATACAGATGTATTGTCGCTTGTGTTTGGCATCTAGCTTTGCCATAGAGAGTTTTTTTTTTTTTTTTAACTGTGCTTTAGGTGAAAATTTACAGAGCAAATTAGTTTTTCATTAAACAGGTAATACACAAATTCTTTTGTGACATTGGTTGCCAAACTCGCAATATGTCAACACTCTCCCCTTCTTCACCCCGGTTCCCGTTTCCATCTGTCCAGTTTTCCTGTCCCTTCCTGCCTTCTTGTCTTTGCTTTTGGGCTGGTGTGCCCATTAGTCTCCTATGCATGAATTGAACTACGAAGCACGTTCCTCAGGTGTGTTATCGTTTGCCCTATAGACCTGTCTAATCTTTGGCTGAAGGGTGAACCTCAGGAGTGATTTTACTACTGAGTTAAAACGGTATCCGGGAGCCATACTCTTGGGGTTTCTCCAGTCTCTGTCAGACCAGCAAGCCTGCTCTTTTGTGTGTGTGTGAATTTGAATTTTGTTCTATATTTTTTTCTGGCTCTGTCTGTGACCCTCTATTGTGATCCCTGCCAGAGCAGTTGGTGGTGGTGACTGGACACCATCTAGTTGTTCTGGGCTTGCCATAGAGATTTGATTTTACATGTTAGTTCACTTATTTTTTTTTTTAATCATCTATGATTTTAAATAAAGACCATTGCAAAATCAGACTGTCTTCGGAGAGGAAAATAATTTTACAATTTACTCAGTTTTGTCACTGAAATGAATTAGAACACTTAATTGAAGAGCTTTTCTATAAGATTCATACATTACTGCTTACCATTTTCTTCAGTATATCTTGTTCCAGTAAAATGAGGAGTCAGAGGGTGGTGGATTATATTTGTCTCTACTTTTATCAGCTGTATTCTCTTTCATACTTACCTTTTTGCCTTTCTTCAAAAAGGAACGATTGATTTTTGCTTGTAGTCTTGGTGAACTTTTATTTTGATTTAGTGCTTCACAGACTTTGATAAAATACCACTCCATAAAGTTACAATAATAGTGCCTGTTCCAGATCATATGATTAGACTGGATTATAGGATAATACTTATAATCATTGTAAATTTTGCACAATGAATAAAATCAAGTTCATCCTTAACTGAGGATACAGTACCTAGCACAGTGCCTGGCATGTAATATATGTTGAGTAAGTGGTTGTGGAATAAATGAATGAATGAATAGAGAGTATTATGAGTTTATTCTCACATTTGAGCTTTGCATTTAGGATATTAAAAGAAGAATCAATTTGTGACTCCTAGAGTTGATAGTTCACCAGCAGTCATTTTGATGGCTGCTCTTCACAGGTACTTGCCCTTCTGTTGTCAGAGAGTTTGCAAGGCTGCTGACAAGAAGCTAAGACTAAAAACTAAAGTACGGGCATGTTGTCTATACTTATTTTCTGTCTTCAAGGATTGAAATTACATACGTTTATATTGCATGTACTTTGAGTTATTCAAATTTAATTACTGGCTGATTTATGAAGTGGTTTGTGTGCTAGTTTCGTTTGCTTACCTGTGGCTGTGGATTAGGGGTTTTTTTTGTTTGTTTTTCTTCCCTTTCTTTCATATTTTATAGTCTTTTTCACTGACATCTTATTTTGATTTTATCTTCATATTTACATAACGTTAGGATTCCTCTGTTCTTCACACAGACTGCTTTGGGGCTATTCCATCTATCCCTTCTCTCCTAGTCAGGGGGCTCCTTTCAGTGACCATAGTCCCCTGAGAAGCAGAAGTGAAGAAACAGTGGAGAGAGACATCTCTCTTTGTCTCTCACTTTCTCTCTTTTCCTCTCCTTTTCTTTCTCTCTGCCTCTCTTCCCCTACCGCCTCTTTGTTTAGATAATTTGTTTTCTTTACCTGCTTAGAATTTGTTCAGAGGTATGCCAGAGCTGAATTTAATTCTCCAAATCATCTCTTAAGTCACTGCTATCTCTGGGTGCCTGAGGACCTTGTGCTAGCACAACCTATGAAGCGTTCCAGAACCGGGCCTCACTCTACTTTTCTGCACCCTGCACTCCAAGAAAACTAAACCACTTGTAGTCTCCTATAGCTACCTCCAAATTTTTTTATTTCTTTTCCTTGGTTCATATTGTTCCCTCTGTCTGGAATTAACTTCTTGTTCACCTCTAATTTGAAAACCTCTTTTAGAAAATAAAGGATTGGTCTAACTCATTCCATACTTTGAGGATTTATCTGCAAATAGGTGTCCGTTGTTTCTAAAGTACTTTATCTATACTGCTCTTAGGGCATTTATTTCTGTTTGCCCTAGTGGCATAGTGGTTAAGAGCTCAGCTGCTAACCAAAAGGTTGGCAGTTCAAATCCACCAGCCACTCCTTGGAAACCCTGTGGGGCAGTTCTGCTCTGTCCTATAGGTTGCTATTAGTCAGAACTGACTCGACGGTACCTAACAACAACAATGTGTATACTAATATTATTATGCATACATATTATTATGTATACACAATATTATTATGTATACACAATAGTATATACATATACTAATAATATATGTATACATATATTATTGTTTCCATTGAACCGTAAGCTTGTTGAAAATAGAGTCCATGTTTCAATTATAGTGTATTCTCTGAATTGCTTTGCACAGTGCTTGGCACATTCGTTCATTCATTCATAATGTATTTATTAAATCTGTACTAGGTCTTAGAGATATTAGTAAATAATAATAGTACTATTTTTGAATACCTATTATATTCCCAGCACTGTTCTAGTTACTTTATACCGATTAGTTCTAATATTTGATAGAAAGGTATTATCTTTCATTTTATAGCTAAAGAAACTTGGATTTTTAGAGATCCATTCATTCATTAAACGGATATTTATTGAATATCTGCTATGTGCCAGGCAAGTAACTTGACAAGGATTATAGTTACTAAATGGAAAGCTGTTGTCTGAACTCAGGACATCCTAGCTCCCCAGTCTGTATTTTTTCATTACACCAAGTTGTTAGTCCCATCCCACCAGAAGCTCAGTGTTAGGAAAGGAGATGCAATGATAACTGTAATAACATTTGATGAATATAGTTAATCAAGGGAGTGTGATGGTACTCTTTGACTTGGTCTGTGAGGAATTAGTAAAATGTTGCTTCCCATTGAAGTTTTGGGGAATATAATGTGCAAAAGCAAGGGGATATAGAACAACCTAATGTGATTTAGAAGAACAAGAAGTTAGATGTGACTGAAATGAAGAAGACACTGAGTGCTAGAAGACAGCGGGCTTTTTATGTTCAGTCAATAATTTATTTAATATTTATCCCCTTTGAGGAACTGTTATAGGCTCTGTGGTTTTTTAAAATGGAAAAGACACAGTCATTGCACTAAAGAGTGTACAACTTGATAGCTAATGAACCACACATACACACACAGATTGTCATACCAGATGCTAAGGTATTCCACGTGTCTATGGAAGTTTAGAGAAGAGAGAACTCTCTTCTGGGTAGGGGATCAGGAACAGTGGTATGAAAGAGGGTAGGGGAGTGACGTTTGTACTAGGACCTGAGGAGGTCAGTAAGAAATGGTTAGGCTTATAAATTTAATCATCTTAACATCTCTATGTATTTAAGATAGCCATGTGTTTAGATTATGGGTCTGTTTCTGAGTATTTTCATTTTATGAATGATAAGTAAATACAGGTTAAGACAATTATTGGTGGTATAATTTTTAAAGTGACTGACTTTTTTTTTTTAGATTGTTTATTCTCTTAGTTTTAGCTTTATCTTAAAAATGCATTCTGTTGTTTGCTGACTTTTCAGAATTTTAAAGTTCAAGTCCTCAGCTTCCTCTGGACTCAAACTCAAAACAAGGTACTGTCACACAGGGTATCAGTGAAACAAAACAAATCTGGGAAAAGAATTGTGAAATAAGACTTTTAGAATAAAAGATGTAACTCCTTTGAAATAATGAATTCAGGATTTTAAAAAATTGTGACTATTAGTAAGTTTAGCTTTTAGAAATTATTCTCAATTTATGCCCATTGTTACATTTTTTGCCATAAAGTAAACTTAATACTTTGTGAATCTGACAAATGTGAAGGACTGTCGCCATGATCTCGTGTTTTCATATGGCCCTTTCCCTTTTGTTTTGCCCCTTTCCCCCACCAACAAGCATACCAAACAAACAAGCAAAAAAATCCGGTCCATTTTTTAGATGCCTTTTCCAGTCAAGGAGTAGTATAGAGAAGAGGGTGTAAGTGGTGTTATACCCATCTCATGGGTGAAAGAGCTTAAATTCCAAAAGGCTAGCTTGCCCGTTTAAAAGTTGGATAACCAGCGCTGAAACCCAGACCTATCAGACTCTTAACCCTCATACTCCTTCCACTAAACTGTTTTACCTCGTGGGAACCTGAGCAGTTATGAGTTACTTTATGTTTAATGTCCAAACTAGGATAAAAATTTAGTGCTTCTGATCCTCTGCCCAATGGTATTTTGTTTCTATTTTGAAACTGGGGCATGTTCTCCAGAAAAATGTTTAATGCAGATAATTTTTCCATTTGTTCTTATTTCCCACCTCAGGTCCTTTCACTCCTTCCTTCATGTTTGCTTTAGAAATGAGGATGAAGTTCCCTAATCTCATTTCTGAAATTGCTAGTATATATCCTTTTGGCCGAAGCAAAGCTTGGATATCATTCCTAAAGCACAAATTATAAAACCTTGAGGCTCATGGGGGAAGGATATTTTTCTTCCTCCAGACTTGATATTTAATATGTGTTTTTTCTTTTGTTTGTTGACTTTTCTTTTACCCCCATCTAGGACCCAGTTGTAGCAAATGCTGCATATAAATCTCTGTCACAGTTTAGCGCAGGGGAGCACACCATTCTTCATCTGCCTGAAAAGGTAGGCATTTCTGCTTTCCCACCATTATCTCTTAATGCTGGGTTTTACAGCTTTATAATGTATCCTCTCTCTTAGGAGATCCTTACTGAGTGCTGTGTATGTAACTAGATATGTTGTCCATAAAAGATAAGAGTTTATGTTAATTATTTGTTTAATCTGTAAAAGACTGTGGAAGTCTTAGGCTTTGGAGCAGATGGAAGACACGTATGGTGCAAATAAAGTCTCCTTAAGGTGACTGGGTGTCTGGCTGCATTCCTCTGCCAATGGCTTGCTCCAGAAGGTCTGTACCACCGTAGGAACCACTTTGCCAAGTCAGCATGCCATCTTGGACTTCAAGGACTTCAAATCCAAGCATGGCCTGCATAGACTAAGATTTTATACCACCCGTGCAGCCAGAGATCTTTATTTGTGATGAAGAATTGAGATGCCATATGAAAAAAAATCTCCTTTTTATTGTTACACTGTGAAATGATACATAGGTTAGCCCTGGAGAACTGGATGAAGAAAATACCACTATCTTTTAAGAGTTAGCGTATAGTATGATGTTATCTTCATTTTTAACTAAACTAAAAATGTACAATAATTTCTAGTATCTAACTAATATAGTCAACTTTAAATTAAGAAGTCATGTTAAGGAGTTAATGCTTGCTTTCACATTTAGTGTCACCACCAGTTTAAATGCATACCAATGTTTATTGAATGCCTTTAGCATGTAAGGCAGATACTTTGTTAGATGAAGTTATGTGTAATGTTACTCAGAATCAATCCTTGAGGTGAACTGGTAATAAAGTTTGGCATGAATTTCTAGGGATCCTCAGGTATTAAAATGGGTTTGATTTTTTTCTTCTGAATTGATTTTCATACAGAGATTTGATGCCAGTAGGAACCAGGAAAACTTCTGTTGGAGCCACCATATACAGGAGACTAAAGATAGCTCTTGTAAAACCAAATCTTAAATAAGACAAGATGTCCCAAGTTTTTGAGGACTCATAAAGTCTGATTGGCCAATGTGGTGTCCAGTTTTTACAAATGGGAAGGCTTAAGAAAGGTGTTCTGTGACCCATAAAATTAAAAGACAAGACTTCAAAGTACACTATGGTAATTAGCAACACATACAGCGCTATGAGTCAGAATCAACTTGATGGCAATGGGTTTGGTTTTGGGTATAGCTGCTAAAAAAAAAAAAAAAAGAAGAAGTAACTCTACATATAAATTGAATATGAAAATTACCAACAGATTAGCTACAGCATGTGGAGAGATGCCTTTTTATTACTGTTATTTTTTAATAAGCAATTGCTCATTTAGATCACAGCATAACAGTTACATTTATTTTTAGCTGTTATTTCAGAAATATTCCAGTTAGAGTAAGAGCTTTTATTAAGTAACTCCCACATACTCTTAACTGTTTAAGCTCTACCTTTTGAAATATTGACATATTTATGTTTTCCCCTACCTTAGGGTCATTTTCAGTTTCTGATTATGTTTGTTAGAGTTTATATTCAATTAAATGCTGTACTCAGTCAAATGTTAGCTACTTCTTTAATACAACTCTTCTAAACCCGCTAATCCCTGAATAGCCTTAAATATTTCTTTATACCTTCCAATATGAAGGGTAGCGATGTACTCAGGGTTGGCGTTTTTATATATGTTTAGGTTTTTACCGTCAGAGTGCAAAGAACTATAAAGGAAAGCTTATGTAGGCTTATTTTTTTAAAGCTTTCTTTTCAATCTTGTTCCTCCCCCAACCCCCTTCTGGGATATGACCCACTCCCAGAAGTAACAGTTGTTCACTATGGTGGATATTTTCAACTGGAATTGGGATGAGGGAGTATAAGTGGTTTGAAAAGGTCTTCTCCACTCTGATGTCCAGAGTCTCATGGAGGATCATTACTTCTAAGATTGTACCATGTATTCTTCTTCTTTTTAAAAACTGATTACTGCTTTTTAGCTTGGCTGTTTAAATACCTAAAAGTCCAGAGAGTGGTCAAAGTGTTCGTATCCCACACAAGTCTCCAAAGGCTAAGGATACAATGAACTCAACTCTCCACTTCTGTTTCGTAGATGATGTCAGTGACTGAAAACTGAGGCTCGTTTTCTGTAAAAGCATATTTTCAAATGCTTGAAAAGTCCCTGCCAGGTGGGGTCTTCTGTAATACAAAACCCAAGATTCTTCTTTGTTGTCAGAGATTGTCCACTCTGCACCAGGGGCAATTGAAAGCTAACAGGCCGGGTAGAACAAAAGGAGCAAGAGGAATTGACAGACATCAGAAGGAAGATTTAGGGAGATGGAAAATGTCAGTGGATGGTAGACCTGAATGAGACACTATGTGAGTTAGGGATTTGAATACCAAATTTATCTTTCTTGTCACTGGTTTATTATTAGGAAATCCTGTGGACTTAGAGGCAATATATACCTAACACTTGTATTGGCTTAATAGTTATTTAGTGAACATTACTAAGTGCTAGACCCTGACTTATGAGTTGGGAATGTTGAATTAATGCATATGTTTTGTTGGTTTGTAAAAATATCATTGTTAATCACTTTAAATTTGCAAATCTAAAGTTGGTACAAAAATTTGGGGGCTTCTTTGAAAGCCTGTTGTTTGTAATATTGAAAAATAGACTAGAATAATTTTTTCACTTCCACTTTGTATTTCTTCTGTGTTTATTTTTTTGTTGTTGTTTTGTTTTGCTTTGTTTTTAGCTATCTATCCTTCTCGCCTGACTTCTCTAGCACCAGGAAAAACAAACTATACAGAACAGTTTTTCTTATAAAAGAATAACGGAGCAACATTTAGGCAGAAGATTGACTCTTCTGTCTTGACTGAGGTTCAATATGGAATATGAAGCTATTTAAAAATTAAACTTTTCATTATAGAGATCTGAAGATAGATTGTTTTGTTGATTTCTGGAGTTAATTTTAGAAGTGAGTAATACGAAAGAACTGATTATGCATCCAGGGTTGGTATAAATTTGGTGTAACCTCTTTGGCTTTGATTTAAGTGAACGTCATTGCATTCATCAGAAGCTGTTTCTCTTTTAAAATGAATTTATGCAGATACTTGACGTGTTCCAAATAAAATCTTCTGTTTATGCATAAACTCCTGGATTTTCAGAGGTTATATATACAGAAGGATGATTGAAAAGTTATCGGACTTGGAACCAACCCACAGTGAGGCATTTTGTAAGCATAAGTTTTCCAGTATTCAATTTGAAGCAGATTTTAAAAGTAATTTGTCATTATATGTTTGGCTGTCCATTTACGTGTTTCAACAAAGCTTAGCTCTAATTGGAAGAGTTTTGTTGTGCTGGTGGTGGTTGTGGTGTGTGTGTGTTTTAAATATACATGTAGTTTTTCCTGGGTGTTTCGACAACTAATGTAATACAATTGCCAATACGTTACAACTTTAACAGGTATTCTTTCATATGACTCTTCTTGACTCCCCCTAGTTGTACTCACATTGATCTTGTTCATTCATTGCACACAAACAAAAGGAAAAGACTGGGGTTAGAATAGGGAAGTTGGAAAAATGTAACAAATATTTAAGAGGTGAGCAGAAGAGGAGAGAGAAGTATAATGGAACTGTGGTCTGACAATAAGGCTCAGTTTCCAGGGAGAATCAACTCATCTTCGAGGAAACAAATTGAAGGAATGGTTGGACCATAAGTATGTAAAGTATATCATTTATACTTAAATTACAGTACAATTGTGATTTGTTAAAATACATGCATATGTGAAATGCAGAAACATGCCATCTACCTCATAGCATATAAACTAGTATAGGCACCCAGTTATGTAAGAAATTAGACAGTTTAAGATGGATGGATGGGTCACCTTTTTTATTTTTAATCTTCAAGTCTTTCTTTCGTCTTTTTTCAAGTCTCTTCTTTATTTATTTTTTTTTAATCCTCAAGTCTTTCTTTAGTAATAGGCTCAAACATAGCAATGATTGTGAGGATGACAAAGGAGCGGGCAGTGTTTCGTTCTGTTATACACAGGGTTGCTAAGAGTTGGAACCGACTGGATGGCACCTAACAACAAAACTTTCTTTAGTGGGTTGCAGAAGTATTGATGGCCTGGGTGCTGTGACTTATTTTAAGTAATTTAGTTTGAGCAGGACTAGATGTGATAAAATGTGTGCAAAAATGATATCTCTTTTTTCCTAAATAATTCTGGATTTGGAAGCATTGGGTCATTTGGTATAGTTGACACACCAGTCTAAGGCCTCCCTGTAGGTTGGGTCTTTATTTTCTTCTTCTCCTTCTCCTCCCCCGCTCCCTTTCCCTGCTTCTCCATCTTTTTTTTTTTTTTTATTTTGGAATATAGTCTTCCTCCTTCCTTCATTTCTTCCTTTCTTTTTAAAAAACTTTTGTTGATATAATTCACATAGCATAAATTTACCCATTTAAAGTGTGTAATTCAGTGGTTTTAGTATATTAACACTGTTTTTGTGCAACCATCACCACAGTCTAATTTTAGAATATTTCTGTCTCCCTTAAAAGAAACAGTATTCACGTTCAATTCCCATTTTATCCTTCCCCTCCCCCAGCCCAAAGGAACCACTTATCTACTTTCTGTCTCTATGGATTTGTCTATTTTGAACATTTCATGTAAATAGAATCATACAGTAAGTCACATTTTATGGCTGTCTTCTTTCACTTAGAATAATTTTTTTATGGTTTCATTCATATTTTAGCATATATCAATAGTTGATTCATTTTTATGACAGAATAATAAATATTCCGTTGTATGGATATACTACATTTTGTTGATGCATTCATCAGTTGATGGACATTTGAGTTGCTCCACTTTTTTGCAATTATGGAAAATGCTGCCATGAACATTCATGTACAAGTTCTTGTGTGTGTATATTTTCATTTCTCTTGGTTATATGCCTGTGAATGGAATTGCTGTGCCATGTAGTAACTGTATAGTTAACTTTTTGAGAAACTTTCACACTGCTTTTCAAAGTGGCTGCACCATTTTACATTCCCACCAGCAATGTATGAAGATTCTGATTTGTCCACATCCTCATCTTGTCTTTGAGTTTTCATACTAGCTTAAGTGTTCACCTCTGTGCTCCACCTCCCCAAATCTCCTGTCACTTGTGAGTATGATGTATGTCAGAGCTTCCCAGTGCTCTGGTGTACCAGGGTGTCACAGATAGGTTACCGATCTAGTCTCCAGCTGATCTGATCTCCAGCTGTAAGCATCGTTGTCTGTTTCCTCTGTTATGCTGTTCCCATATTATTTTCAGCTTGTGCTGTGATATGTAAAAAGTCAGGACACATGGCAAGGAGATCTAGAACTAACTTCTTATTGGGGACTTTTTTTAGACAACCTGGACTAGTTTGAATCTCTAAGACAACTTTTGATGATGCTAACCTGGCAAATTCCAAATATGTACTCAGACCAAGGGCACTTGGAACGCTCTGCTTATCAGAGCCAAAGGGTTTACAAACATTCCAGGATTTCTCTGATGTGCAGTAATGTCAACAAACTCTGTCATGCCATATCAGGGAAGCATACCTGATTGTTAGCTGTGTAATTATGGCTGGCTCAGCCCTCTGAGAATTAGGTACTCAGTAGTGAATTAGAATAAGTCTTGTCTTGGAAAGCTCTCGGGTAGTTAGGCGGCTTTTACTCCTTCTTGGCTAGTGAAGAGAACACTAGTTATGGTTGAAAGGCTTCATTGGAGTTGAGCTTATTATACTGAAGAGAAGCATTTTCTGTCTGTTGTCTTCTATCCTCCTGCAAGAATCCTGACTCAGTGCAGTTCCTAGATGGAACAGTGCTTTGGGGACCTATGAAGAAGGCAGTCTGCAGGAATTGTTAATTATTTCTAAAAATAACTCCAGGAGACAGGCTAATGGTAATGACTGGTTTCTGGCACTTTATGGTTATAGCAACCACTTTTACATATTTTGATTTCCTCCCCTAATGCTTAATTGTCTGCATGTGAGCATTATGATGGTATGTCATTGAAAGTATTAAAAATTTAATTAATTGCTTAACAGTTATATCTTGTGGAAACTACAATAGTGGTAATCTTTTTTCATTTTTTATTTTTGGTTCAAATAAACTTAACTAATCACAGAACAACCACAAAATCTTGCAAATTGTAAATTACACAGTAAAGTATAGCTACTGATTATAGATTTTAGTGTTTTTATATTCCATAGCAACAAGCTGCCAAGTCTTTAAAAAAAAAAATCAACTAAAGCATTCTGCCCCTCCCTGATCTCTAGTATATGTTCTACTGGAGGATTTTACACTTTGGCACAGAGATACAGGCTGAAACCACAAATTAAAAAGAAAATAACAATAAGTATTCAGACAAGGCAAATATTTAATCACAAGCCAAAGAAGTTTAATATATTGAATATGTCAGTGTTTACATTTTATTATCTCCTGGTATAAAATTTTATTAGTTTTCTATAATAGTCATTGCTTATGCTGGTTTAGAGTGATTTTCATACTGTATTACTATATGTTCTTTACATGGAACTTATCTAATAAAATGACTAGAGCTTACCATTTCGTTAATCTGGAAAGCGAATAGATTTTTTTTTTAAATTAATCTTTTTTTTTTTTGATATTACAGAGTGATGGAGTCTAACTCAATCTTTCAGTCTTGACACAAAGAGGACAAAGAAAAGACTTCACATAATGTTTTAATATTGCCCTTTCTATAATCTCATCACTTGTTATTATTTCAGATAAGACCAGAAATTCCTGTTTCTGATGAGCTAGATGAAGAAGAAGATGATGAGGGTGATGAAAAGGAAGTGGACCTTTCAATTCCTGGTTTTTGCTATCTCAAACTGTTGTCACTTACTGCTCCTTCAGTTTTACCAGGTGACTAGTGGCAGTGAAGCTGGCATTTTTCAGTGATTTTACTTGTCCGATTAGTTGTGTTCTTATGTAATATATACATACGATAGCTTACTTTAATCTTAGGTACTTATTTTCTAACTGAAATGTTAAATGCACCCATCTGTTCTATATAGGGACTACTTGAGGTTGTAAGGTATTCAGAACATACCAAAAAGAAAGAAGGAAAAAAGTAGTTAGACTTGAGTAAAATTGAACTGGATTTTAAATAACCATCTCACTGACACAATTTGCAGTGGGATTCACTTAGTTTATATAATCAAGAACCATTATTTGAGTCAAATATAAAGAAAGTGAAAAGATCATTAGAATCTTTCTTCAGAGATTTAGCGGATAGTTTCATCATTATACATTTATTCTTTTTATAGTTACTCCAAAGACAGTACTGATATTTGAGAACTTTTTCTGTTGAGAACTTTCTTTTTAAAAACTTTTATAATGCTTTTTCTAAATGGATCAAATTGTGTGATCATTCAGTTTTGATATAAAACTTACATGGCTCTTTACATTTTAAAAACTATTTTAATGCTTGCATGTGGTAATTAATCTATATGGATATTATGTTTAGAAATACTGACCTGCCTCTATTATTGTATACCCTACCCAAGAAACAGTGGATGGTACCCTCTGAGAAATTTTATTTGGTTGTGGACTGTGATTGGGAATTTACATTATTTTGTTTTAAATTTTATTTTCTGATTATTAAAAATGTTTTCTGGAATGATCCGTTGTGATTAAGTAGCTTTTAAGTGTTAGCCAACATTTTGCTGAGCATCCATCTATTACCTTGTTTGGTCCTAGACTCTGGAAACCTACAAGGTAGGAATGGGGAAGAACAGTCTAGGACCTCCCCTGTGGTTGGTTAATTGTGGGTCCAAGGAAGGAGAAAGCCTCCAGTTATCCAGCATTCCTTCTCTATCTTAAAATAACCTTTAGAGTCAGTGTCCTTTTGCACTTTTTTTTTTAAATGACTTTGAGATCTTCTATGAACTCCCCACTCCAGTCTGTGGCATTAGAAGAAGGAGAAGGGGAGATGATGTTTGTTGCCAAGGCGTGCTATTGTTTTCTGTCCTCTCCCCTCCGTATATGCAATGCTGTGGTGGCCATTAACTGGTTCTTCTTCATTGTTTGTATTTAATGGTTGCCAGGGCTTTTCCTTGAGAAAGAAATGGAGTATTTGAGATCAACAAATATATCTATATTATATTTAATTTATAAAATTAAAAAATTGCAGTGAGGAGTCCTGTGAGTGGTCCGGATGCTATCTATATCTGACAAATCCTATCTCCAGGGGCAAAGTACTGCATTTTTCTGTGCCTCACTTTCCCTGTGATTACTGACCAGACCAGACCCATTGCTGTTGAGTCTATTCTGACTTATAGCGACCCTATAGGACAGAGTAGAACTGCCCCATAGAGTTTCCAAGGAGTGACTAGTGGATTCGAACTGCGACTTTTTGGTTAACAGCCAAACTCTTAAACACTGTGCCACTAGGGCTCCCTGTGATTACTGGGGGACTAAAAAGAGAATGAGAAAAAAGAAACCAGCCTTAGAAACCCCTAGCAGGAACACAGTGGATAATATTTATTAGGTTGCTAAGTGCTACAGGCAGAAAACTGGATTGCACTGAAAGTAAGTGAATCCTGGCCCTTGTCTCCTGTTAGTCCCTTTCAAAGAAATGGAAAAGCAGCTGCAAAGTAAATCCAGTAATTTGTATTATTTTAAATAGGAATGTTACTGCTTTTGGTTTTTTTTTAAATGCTCTTATTTTGAAATAACTTTAGATTTACAAGAAGTTGCAAAAATAGTTTAGAGAGTTCCTATGTACCTTTTACTCAGCTGCTTCCATTAATAACATCTTACTTAACCATAATACGTTATTAAAACCAGAAAAGTGACATTGGTATAATACTGTTAACTAAACTGGAGGCCTATTTGGATTTCACCAGGTCTTTTTTTCCATACACTATGTAAACTTTTGAGACTGGCTTTTTTTCACTCAGCATAATATCCTTGAAATCCATCCAAACTGTTGTGTATAGCAAGTGTTTGCTCCTTTTTATTGCTGAGTAATATTCCATTGTATGGATGTACCATGGTTTGTTTATCCCCTCGCGTGATGGACATTTAGGTTGTTTTAAAAATTTATATCTAATGCTCTGTGTCCTACAAACTTTCAGCTTCTTCTCAAATTCACACGCGGTCTTCTAGAAGAAGAGACTAGAGCAAGGCTCAAAGACAACGGAGAAATCCTGGCTTAGCACTGGGGAAACGTGGGGCACCATATATTGGGTACACTCAGCCTCAAAGCATCTTACACAACAACAACCTACTGCTGTCAAGTCAATTCCGACTCATAGCGACCCTATAGGACGGAGTAGAACTGCCCCATAGGGTTTCCAAGGCTGTAAATTTTATGAAAGCAGATTGCCACATCTTTCTTCCGGGGAGCGGCTGGCGGGTTTGCACCACTGCTGACCTTTCGGTTAGCAGCTGAGCGCTTTAACCACTGTGCCACCAGGGCTCCTTCAAAGCATCTTACCCGCTTTTAAACTACTTTTGAGGCTGGAGTTACTTGCGAATCCCTTGTTTGCTGAAGAGTTTGAGAGAGAGACAAATTTCGGTTCCTGCGTTAGACTTTCCTCCTCTCAAGAGTGGTTTTTAGTCCATGTGCAGATGTGTACCTGGCCCTTAACGTGTGCAGCTGTTGCCAGGATAGGACCCTTCTGAGAGAACATGAAATTATCTTCTTTTTTTTTCTTCTCCTCACCATAGGTTCTCTATTCTCACAAACAGATGATTAATAGATACATTCTGAAAAGTATGTACTCACGCCCAGCTTGAAGCAGTTACACATGTGCATGTGTTTGTAGGAATTGGGGTATATGTCCTGCAATTGTGTGTCACTCATCGCTTTCATTTAGATGATGTATTGATCAGGGTCATGACAGGAAAGGGAGGACACATTCAGAGAGAGTCATTGAGAAGAGTTTGATAAAGGGGCTATTTACAATTGTGTTATCAGGTTAAGGGAATTTTATAAGGGATAGTGAATCATCCCAGAGTGGTTAATGTCCCTAGGCTTGAAGGGGCAAAGGAAGGAGCAGTTACCAGAATAAGAGGGAGCATCTGTATCACAAGATATGGCTGCCTAACAGGAGCCATGGCCCTCAGAAGAGAGATGCAGGGAACCTGCAGCAATCCTGCAGGCGTGTCTGGAGAATACATCCCCTGACCTCACTCTTGTTTCTACCCTCTGATCTCCTGCCAGTGTCTCATTGGCTGAACCCAACCAGAAGACAAGGAAGCCTGTTGATAAAATCCTTAAAGTTATTCTCCAGGGCACAGAACAGGGTGGAGAAGGGTAAAGAGTGGATCTGGAGGCATAAATGGAAAACATCCCACAGGTGTTCTATGGGCTATTAACTGGAGAAGCTTGGATGTGTCTAGAAGGCTTCTTTTTAGGAAGGACAAAACTGCATATATGTAGTAGATGTTCCAGTGAGTACTTGCTGCCTTTAATTTAATCATGGTTGTTTTTAAGGAGACTTTTAGATCTATTCAGAATGAAATTCCAGTTTAGTTAGGTGGACCCTTGTTTTTTGTTCCTATAATAAGAGACACATGCAGTGGTTTCCTTTTTTGTTGTGGTTTTCTACTCCATATGATTTGTTTCGTTTTAATGTTTTGGTTGTTTCTGTTTCTGCATTGGGCAGCCTCTAGTGGTACATAGAAAAATGACACTTAAATGTAAAATATCTTGTTGGACATCTTATTGTTTTCTTGTAACAAGTAAAATAGCAAGGGATAAAGATCTTGGGATGAATTAGAAAGAACACAAGCAAAGAAATAATGAACTAACACTTCATTTTTTATTGATTGTACCAATATTGGTAATAGAATGATGGATAGTCATGGAAGTCACTGTCTGAAAAGACCTTAATGACACAAAGACTCCAGTGACATGAAACTCTGAGGCTAGTGTGTTTCAGATAGAAGGAACAGCGAGTGCAATGGACCTGACTTAGATATGGACTTTGTGTTTTTGAGTAATGGAAAGAAGGCAAAAAGGAAATGTGGCTTTAACATAGTTAGCAAGGAAGGAGGGTGGTAGAAGATGGGGTCAGAGGGAGAATCAGGGACTAGATCGTAGAAGGCCTTGATCACAGTCAGAAAGTTTTTGTTTTTGTTTTGTTTTTTATTGTAGGGATATACATACAATGAAACATTCAATATTTCATCAATTTCTACATACATACTTCAGTGACATTGATTACATTCTTCAAGTTGTACAACCGTTCTCGCTATCTTTTTCTAAATTATCCCACCACCAGTAACATACATTCAATGCATTCTAAGCAAAAATCCCCCACTTTCCCCCTCCCTCCCCTGCCTTGGTAACCAGTCATTACTTATGGTTTCTATGTATATGAGTAGGAATCGACTTGATGGCACCTAACAACAACAAACATATTTCATATAAGTTGTATCATACAGTATTTATCCTTTTGTGTCTGACTTATTTCACTCAGCATAATGTCCTTTAACTTCATCCATGCTGAGGCATGCATCAGGACTTTATTCCTCTTTATGGCTGAGTAATATTCCATTGTATGTATATATACCACATTTTGTTTATTCATGCATCTGTTGATGGACATTTTGGTTGTTTCGAATTTTGGGCTATTGTGAATAGCGCTGCGATGAACGTTGGTGTTAATAGTTAAAAGTTCTGATGTTATTCTATGTGCAGTGAAAAACCATTGGAAGATTTTAGGGAGGCATAAAACATAACATTCTGACTTCTGGATAGACAATGGATTATAGGGGTGGTCATGAGGAGAAGAAATCAAGACACTAGTTTTTACATTAGTCTAGATAAGAATGAGAGAAGATGATGACTAGGCAAGTAATAATGAAGATGGAGAGAAATGGATGGATTTGGAATGTGTTTTGACGGTAGACCCAGAAGGACTTGCTAATGGGTTAGATGTAAGGAGTGAGGGAAAGAGAGGAGTTAAGAATGACTCCTAAGTTTTTAAGCTTGTGTGACTGGATGCCATGTTCTGATTTGAGGAAGACTGGGAAAAGACTAAGAGGGGGATGGGGATCAAGAGTTCTGTTTTTGCCATGTTAAGTTTGGTCTAAAGTATAGCTAAGTTGTTTATATAGAAGTTAAGAATGAATATTTCTTTTCAGCGTACTGTATTTAATCTACTTTTGTTATTCGTTTATCCTCTTTCAGCTTTGGAGGAATTTTTTACATCACTTGTGAAACAAGAAATGGTGAATATGCCCCGTGGGGTGTATCACTCTGCATTAAAAGGAGGTGTCCGTTCAGATCAAGGAAAGACTATTGCAGGAATCCCCAATTTTATGTTGAAAATGTATGAAACAAACAAGCAACCAGGATTGAAACCTGGCCTTGCCGGTGAGTAGAGTGCGTAGTATTAAGGTACGGGTTTTCAATGTAATGATTCAACTTCTGCTTCCAGATAGAACGTGATAGGTCATGGCAGGGCATTGCTGCCGCTAACAACAGCTAGACACCGCTATGTAAGTTACAAAAATTTTTTAAAAATCACATTTTAACAGGCATCAGAGAACTGTGGAAGCAAAGATAGATAGACCAAAATTTCAGAATGGGGAGAAAATTCTACTTTTTTTTTTTTTTTAAATAAACATTCCCTGATTCTGATCATAGATTAGGGACTGGGGCTTGGCCCAGGCAGAGGCTTGTTGGAGGAAAGAAAAACCAGTGGAGCTTTTAGTGGTTGCGTGAGGTGATAAATTGGAGATTTTTGCCATAAAATGTTTGCTGAAGATTGAGTTTGCACAGAAAGCTAATGAGCTAGACTGAAAGCTTCTGGCACTGTGAACTCTCCTTCAGTCTTGTGGTGCTTGGGAAACAAAGACGAGCTAGGAGAAGTGGCCTGAAAACAAAACACATCTGAGAGGGAAGCCCTCAGAGGAGTAGTGAATTGATCCTGAAGATCTACAAGTGCTCTCACCTGAGGTTTTTCTGGCCACAGTAGAGGCTGGGAACTCAGGCTTGACTTGGTAGGAGGCTGGTGTAAGAGGCAGAGAAACCAGCAGAGATCTTGGCATTCAGATGATGCTGGAGTGACAAAACTAGGGACTTGAAGGGCATCACACACACAGCCTCCTTCAAGATATTTGTCAAATTTTGAAACTCTATGGGACGGGAAACTAAAAAACTAAGCTGAAAACCTCTGAAGGGTGGACCTGAATCTCCCATAATCTTTTGGGACTAAGGAGTCAAAGACTCCTTAGACTATGAGTTGAAAATGTTGGAGGAGGCATGCCCTAAAGACAGGGGTGAGCCGAATCTAGACTGAGATTTACCATATCTATAAACCCAAACTCATTGCCATCAAGTTGGTTCTGACTCATAGCAACCCTTTAGTACAGAGCAGAACTACCCCATAGGGTTTCCAAGGTTGTAATCGTTACGAAAGCAGACTGCTACATCTTTCTCCTGCAGAGCAGCTGGTGGGTTCCAGCCACTGATCTTTCAGTTAGCAGCTGAGTGCTTACCCATTGCACCACCAGGGCTCAAGCCTAATCCAGCTCGGTCCCTGGTTAAATTGAGATGATCAGTCCCCCACCCTATCTGCCTAACAGAGGAAAGGAGAAACTCCTGTCAGGAAGAAGATAACATCCATTAGAGCCTCTACAGTTCTTTCGTATGCTCGCCAGCATACAATGAAAAAGTACTAGACGCATATGAAGAGGCTTGAAATGAAGGGAACATTTCGTGAAGGTAAAAAATTGTTTAAATAGTAAAATAGCACAATTCTAATCTATATACATTAAGTAACATAGCTTCAAAATGTATAAGACAAAAATTATCAGAACTAAAAGAAAAAATAGACAAATCCACAATCTCAGTGGTCCTTGGATGTGTTGTCTCATTGGCTCAAAATCCCCAAGTAGTTTCCGAGACTACCCTAACTCATCCTATAGCACTTGACTGCCTGCCACTGCTTTCCAGTGACACTGAGGGTGGGCTGGAGTGAAAACTTAATTGACCGCAGTGAGGACAGGGAGGAGAAGGGTTAAAGAAGCATGAGGGAGGAAAAGAGGGAGAATGAATGTATCTGAGTATGGGGGAAATCTTGTTCACTCATGAGTAAAAATTGAAAGAACTCATGTTATCCAGCATTTACAATGATTAATATGTATAAGCATTTCTCTTTAAATTTATTTAAAAAAAACAATACAAACTCAGAAGTAACTGCTCACAAATTTTAGAATGAAAATTTAAAACGGTCATGAATTATAAATTTGTTCGTTTATTTACAAATGAATAATGCACTTATAAATAATAACTTGTAACTAAGAGATATTTTAAATATAATAACTTTTTATATTTCTTCTGCCTTTCCTTATATACCAGTAGTCAAAAATCATAATTTGCTTAGCAAATTCTCTTTTCATTGCTAAATCTCCCTATCCAGATTGATTAAGTATGGATTCCTGAGAATGTAACTAATAAATTTTTACCGTAAGAATGTTTTTTATAAGTTTCTTTTTTTAAAGGTGGCATGTTATTTTGTTACGATATTTCAATGTATCAGAGTAAAGATGGCAAACCATTGAATCGATTGATGGCCAGTAGAGGGCGAAGTTTCAAGCAGACATCACTTGCTCTTGTGCATGAGGTAGGTACCTCTCCATAGTCTGAATAGGCTCTTCTTTCTTTGTATATGTTTTGGGGTTTCCTTCCTTCACTTTATGCTTATGAAATACTGACCACCAATAATGCAATTTTTCTCTTTATCATAACATAAGCTGCTTTTAAAGGCAACCAAACTAGCTGACCCAACTGAATACTAAAATATTTTAATGTACTTCTGAAAGCAACTGGCATGCTTCCCCTACTGTTTAGCCTAATTATTAGGGAGTAGTGTCCAGGAATTTGGTTTATTGCATCAATATTTAACTTTCACTGTTTAGAATAAATATCAACTTACTATTTAAAGAAATAATATTGCCTATTTCTTCATTCTAATGCTTTGCAGGTATGCAGGGCACTAGTGTTTAGATTTTGGAGTATTGGGAATTAACAGTAAATAAAAAGTGTTTAGGGAAAAAAACCCTTGGTTTTAGTTTTTATTTTATTTTTCCTTTAAGCTACCCTTTTAAATAAAATATGTGATGCTGTTAGATGATTTGCAGAAATCTGACCATTGCAAGTTGTAGCAATGGCAGAGGAAGAGAGAAACTGGAAGCACTTGGGAAACGTATGTTATTACACGCAGTTTTTCATTCAGGTGTATATAAATTAAAATATATGTGTAAATGACAAAAAAAAAATCACACCAAAGGGAGTTATTTTATAATTTAGACATAACAGGTTTTATACCAGTTATAACAGAAAATATGTTTATCGTAAACATTTAATGGACTTAATGTAAAAATAATTAGCACTTATAAAATATGTGTATATAACATTTTATTTTGATGCCCGATTTATAAATCCCAGAATTGCTAATTTGGCTCAGTTATATTCTGTATTATACCAATTACCACCAGTTTAATAGCATAGCAGAGTACACAGGGTTTTTAAAGACCTCTTTTTTTTTTTTTAATGCTTAGAGTCCTGGTGGTGTAGTGGTTAAGAGCTCAGGCTGCTAACCAAAAGGTCAGCAGTTCAAATCCACCAGCTGCTCTGTGGAAACCATGTGGGGCAACTCTACTCTGTCCTGTAGGGTCACCGAGTAGGAATCAGCTTGATAGCAACGGGTTGTTTTTTTTATGCTGCCCATTTTCCTTTCATATGTTTAGGTTGAACCTTTTTTGTCTAATACAATAACTTCATTCAACTAAAGAGGGAAGGAGGATCTCTGGGAAGAAGAGGATTTTAATTTCATGAAAGTGGGAAAAGCATAGGTTATCTCTACATTAGTTTTCCATTAGCGTGTCATTAGTTGGCACAGAGAAGGGAGATACTTGATAATTTTTTGTTTTTTTAAGCTATGTCTATAGGTATTTGAGGGCCACCTAAAGTGTAAAGTCTTAGAAAGTCATTCAAAAAGTTACCATAAGAAAAGAACTAGGAAAGAGTGTTAATGTGGGGACTGTAGAAGACATCTGATAAATGGAACTTATGCTATCAAAACTTATTTGAGACATGCCAAATTCTGTGGGGGTAAGATAGCTTGTTGCTTATGTTATAGAGAACCTAGAAAATTTCACAAGGAAGAGAAAATAAGATCACTATTTTAGGAATCAACTGAAAGTCATACTGGGCAGAATTGTGCCATCTTCATATTACCAAATCTGTGACAGGGCTTTAGTTTGAATTCCATCTTCTGCTTATTATAATCCCCTATCTAACATGCCCATTTGTTTTAAAAAAAAAAAAAAGCAAAGGTAGAGAACGAGCCATACAGTTTATCAAACTGTGTGACAACAAGTAATACGAATTTTAAGAACTGGTTAATTATAATAAAAATTGCAATAATAACAGCTAATAATTATCTTGGGTACTTTTAAAGTACTCTTTAATTTAAATTTATTTAACTCAACTCCTGTTGATGAGGAAGCTGACAGTAAAATTTCCTTCCTTGAAATTTGCTGTCATTCTTTGGCATTTCTAACTCTAACATGATACTCTCACCTAAATTGGATGGTATGGATTTGTCCGTGTATGAGAATGGCAATTGTGCTTCATTATTTTCTCTATCTTTGGGCACAAAAACTGTACATTTTCCTGAGCTTGCACTACTATCCAGCCATATTTCTACTTCAGCATTAGATAATGAGCTCTTCTTTCATTTTTATTTCAAAGAAACCTTATCTGGACTTACTGGCAGCACTACTCTGAATGGACGTTTTTGTTGTACACTTTTTTTTAAGTGATCAGCATTTGATTCTTTTTGACTTATAAATTAATTTTGTTTTTTTTTAATGCCTCTTTTAAATTTTGTCACTAAATACCCAAATGTATGTGTGAAATACAAGAAGTGTAATTAACCTTTCAGTTTCTTCTTGATTTTAAAAACGTATTTCTTATGAAGAATATGGAGTAGTGTGAGTAGTCACACAATATGAAACAATTAGATGAAAAGGCTGATAATAATGGGGAAAAGTGGTATCTGTGCTTATTACACATCCTTCCTAGAAAACACTGTGAAAAGTATGGTTTGCTGTATTTTAGATACTCCATAATTACCATGTGATGTGAGTTGTTATGGTAACTGGGATTTTCCTCCCTCCTATTAAATAACAGAGTAAATGGTTGCTTGAGATGTGATTGAATTGTCAGCTTTCAAGCTAATGTTGTCCTGATGGGAAAGGGAAAAGAGAGAGAACAAGAACGAGGGGAGGGGGGCAGAGAAAAAAGAGTAAATGAGAGAGGGAGATATGTGTTGGGGGTGGGGGTGGGGGTGGGGGAAGAGGGATAGAAAAAAAGAGAGTTTTAAATGTTCAAAATGCACCTCCGAAGAGATGAGTGTGGTTTTACTTTAAAAATATGTCCTCTAGAAGCCCTCCCTTCTGGTCTTTCAGTCACCATTTGTCAGGGGACAGCAATAACAAAAAATTATTTTGTACAAACAAGATTACTATTGGCAGAAAATTGAAGCCTATTATTTCTTATGTATAAACAATAGGACATTGAGAGGCTTGGGGGGGTCTCTAACACTAAGTACAAATGGTTTTTCTTCTGGGAATGTGGAAGGAGAGTGTGTGTGTGAGAGAGAGAGAGAGTATGTGATAGAACCAAATGTAGTGGCTTAGTGTTTGTTTCTGAGTCCATGTAGCAACTGAAGTTAAATATGTTTATTATTTGATAATAATGTGTGTAACTAGGCTGTATGAAAAAGCCTTATTTTATATGATTAGAGTTTTTTAATTAATTGCAGATACTTGGTTTATCTGTCAATGTTTACATTACTGCTAGTTAAGACTCTGATTTCCTCTTCAGTTTTTTCTTTTAAAACTGAACAACCTGTTTTAAAATTTATTTTCACCTGCTACCTACCTTATCCCCTTCTAATTTGACAATCAACGTCACCAAAATTTTTTATTGCTTGACATCCAATATTTAATGAAGGGCTGTTAAAATGAGTATTTTCTTATAAACGGAATGAATCGTATTTGTTAAGATCACCCAAGAAGCAGAAAGCACTACCTAATTTCCTGGTAATGTGTTCTGAACAGTATTAACTAATTAGATGGCCGTGTAGTTTCTTCAGATAAAATATGGATCAGTGAGGAAAACATAATCTACTTTTTCATTCTCTCTTCCAACATTCCTCTATATTTGTGAATTGTGTTTCTATGCAGAATATTTTCTGTTGAGCTAGTATTTCAGGTATACTTAATTAGAACCTATATGAAACGAGTAAAAAAAAAAAAATTTAGTGAATTTCAAAAGAGAAAGTTTATAATACCTGCTTTAAAATTTTGCTTTGTCATTCACTGCATTTTTGTTTGGAATTAAACAGTTCCTGACACGAATGTTGTACACATCCTTTTATATAACTTCAAATAACTGTCATCAACAACGGGTGTTTGAGTTCAGCAGAGTCTGTTAAAAACAAGTTTTTGAATATTTTGTTTCCAGAGTGGTTGGAAAGTTGAACATTATAATTTTCTGTGATTACTTACTTATGCAATATGATTTTTACATGACAAGAATTTGTCTTAAAGTAAATGCTTTACATTTAATTCAGTTAAACTCAGTAGGTACTTAACTGAACATTATATGCAAGACGCTGTTATGAGTATCATGGGAGGGGTTCCAGGATGAACAGGACATGATCTCTGCCCTTAGGATTGTATGAGATTAAGGTCTACACGCAAATAATATAAAAGGGGATCTGTTCATAGAGGGCTGAAAGCACAGAGGAGGGGAAAATTATTTCAGTAAGTAGAAATGAGAGGAAGAAAGGACATTCAAGGTAGAGGGAGCAGTGAATGCAAAGGTCCTGTAGAGTATAGGACAGACTTGGGAATTGGTTTATGTCTTAGTTATCTAATGCTGCTATAACAGAAATACCACAAATGGATGGCTTTAGCAAACAGTTATTTATTTTCTCACAGTTTAGGAGGCTGGAATTGCAAATTCAGGGTGCCAACTCTAGAGGTCTTTCTCTCTCTGCTCTGGACTAAGATCCTTGTCTCTTCTGACCTTTTGCTCCTCGGTGATCTTCATGTAGCTTGACATCTTTCTTCCCCCACCTCTGCTTCTTAGCTTGCTTGTTTTAATCTCTTTTATATCTTAAAAGAGATTGACTCAAGATACACTTTACACTAATCCTGCCTCATTAACATAACAAAGGCAACTCATTCCTAAATGGGATTATAACCACAGGCATAGAGGTTAGGAATTACAACACATATTTTGGGGGGTCACAATTCAATCCATAACAGTTTATAACCCAATTCAGCCAGAATACAGATTAAGTGAAAGAGAGGAGGAGGAAATCAAATGGGAAAAATTGGCTGAGAATCTTGACCAGCAGAGTTCTTACATGAGAACAAATTATTCCTTAGAGCAAATGGTCTACTTTTGATTCTAAAAGACTTTGAACATTGTACGGAAGTGTTTGGATTTTATTCTTTAATGAGCCACCAAAGGTTTTTGAAAAACAGTTCTGGGTTAATGTAATAGCAACAGCATTTAGGATGGGTTAGAACGAGGAAAGATTTT